GTGTGTTTCACAATTCCCAAATCCGATATCCGGGGATATCTCGATTTCTTTCATTTCATTAAATTGATGAATTATTTTAACATGCCAGAAGTTTTTTTTAACCCTTGGAGCTTGATAATAGTTTTACAAATAATCAAAAGAATCTTGTGCAAATATTTTACAGGGTTTCGTTTTAAGCTGGCAGCAAAACAACGACTTGTGAATATTGTATGATTTAAAGCCATATGTTGTAGTTATTATGAGATTTGTAAACAGCCTAAAGTATCTCTTAAATACACAAAAAGTTTCTTTTAACTCCTATTACATAACACGCACGAGTCCATCTTTCAACAATATGTTACTTTCTAGCCAATTTCCATCAAAAACCTCGTTGATACATGCCAACATTTGGTGATGAGGCGTTTCATCATTCGGTTGTAGCGCAGCTTAGTTCTTGCACTGATACATACCATCTTGTTATTTTAACGTTTGTTCCAAAATTACCGTATGATTTTTCCGTGTTTCTTTAATCTACTGTTTTTCTGGGTTTTAATGAGCACATTGTGTAATCTACCACACACCAATTTATTTGTCATTGTTTATGGATGTACTTTTAAAAGTATGGGCGCATTGATTGTTTATTATCGTAACAACGGCACTAGTATATTCGAGACTTATTCCCGCTTCTCAATAAATGGCCGAACCGTTCTAATCTAGTTAACATCTCGAGCATCCTATGGCATCGAGGATTGATTATTGAGTATGAAATAGATTGGAAAATAGTCTAATGAATGGTATACCCATATGGTTGGATTTTTCGTAAAATTATATTAGGCTTGAATGCACCTTTTCAATTTACAGTCTGTCGGTTTGCATTTTTGTAAGACTTGGTCATCCTTGGTTACCTTTTAAAGATCGGCGCATAGTAAACACTAAAGATTCATTATGGGAGAGTCAAAAATGCCTATCACAAGTTTGTTTTCAGGCTTCAAATGTCATATAAATTAATATCTTTTGCATTTATTCACACGACAAGTTCATAATCAACTCTCTAGAACATCAAATGACTTAGATATTGAGTGGATTAGGCCACCACCCGCGCCATATAATCGGTTAACGTCAATATGAACCTACCCCAACAAAGTACTTTTACTATCGTGACTTCGTTTATTTCGCCTCACTTGTCAACACTTTGGATTATTCATTTTCCATCATCTATTTTTTACAAGAACGGTCACTTATTTATCTAAATGCATCTTTAAAGTAAAGATGCGCCATTGGCATTTGTCGCTAAAATATCAAATTTCTCATGGCTTAATTCATGCTAATAAGTACTCAGATTGGTTATTTAACATATAATCAGGACCACAAAATCACATTACCAACGCTACGTAATGTCCCGGCTTGGATTCAATGGGATTTAAAACAGGCCTAGCATTTAATTTTTGTGTGCATCTGGACTTCAAAACTGGACGATTATGTATGGCTAGAAACGTTACATTTACTTTGTTTGTTACCGTCAAAAAAAGACACCGAAATAAATATAATAAGGAAATTTGAATCCGAATCGCGACGTCACAGCTGTTCATTTTGTTATTTGAAGTGTCATCATGTGGGTTGATCCAGAAATAATATTTAGATCCTGCCTAGTGCATTGCCATCGTCTGTAAGTTAGACTTATTTTAGAAGCCGATGCTATTATTATTATTTTTTTGCAACTTGGGCTCTTCCTAGTCGAAGCGTCATCAGTTTTGTTAAGAAATAGGAAGTAGAGCCTTCTCAACACATGGTCATGGTTACAACTGCGTCTTCGATGTCGAAGTGTTATCGGGTTGGTCTAAAAAGAGAAAGCCGATTCTGCCCAGTGCATGACCATTGTTACAAATGGGTATGTAAATGCATAGACGGTATAAAATATACTGGCCATCATGGTGTTTGGGACTTGTATTTCAAAAGCCGATGTTATGGGTAGACGATGACCTTGGAGTTATAGTTCACTAGCACTTACATACAGGACTAGCTGAAGATTTTGTTGTAATTACACGTACAGGGAAATTCTGATTTTTATGTGTGGATAATGGAGAAATTGTGTATCTATTGTTATTGTTATTTAATGGGTATAACGTAGTCCTAGATATTCCCAAACAGGAAACACGTCTTGCATAATTGCTAATTAGCGACAATCTGAGTATATGTGGCATGAATTAGTCCCAACTGTAAGTAATTAAATCGATAAAAAATAACAATATGTTTACACAATGTGCTGCTCTACTGTGATCACAAACTATAATTAAGCTTAAAAGCAGTTGCTGTTTTTATTCGCCTATAATTATAGATCTGCAGAAATATCAATACCAAAAAAGATGAAACATTAAATATAACATATTTTGTAAATCAAACAAGGATGATTTTCTTAATGACAGAATGTGTCCATTGTGCGAGAGGATGGAAATGGTCTGGAAATGTCGATAAATGACAGGAAAACATATTGGTAAAAAGAAAGGGAGATGCTGTTCCTAACCACGGTAGTCGTGATTAGAGTTAGTACCCTTTTGTATTGGGGCACTCTGTATAACACAAGCAAGGGATAAGTTAAAGAATTGGGGGAGAGGTTAAGTCTCCACATAAGTACTGATCTGGGATGATTGTAATTTAGATCGTGATATTTCCTAGTTTTATAAAAAAAAAAATTACGTAACTATGAATTAAATTTATATACAAAGTTCGCCTGTGGTACTGGTCGCTGTTTTGGGTGTTGGTGGCGCTGAGGGACTTCCTTCGGTGGCGCTTGTGGTCTTCTGGTATTTTTGTTACGATCATTATATGCAAAGCTTCAAAAGTATGTTTACTGGGTAATCGTAATTCATGAATACCGTATCTACGAGATACTGATTAACTTCTTCCAAGAAGTATATAAACGAGGTTATCGTAATTTCTTAATACAGTGATTAAGAGAAAAACCCAACAAAGCACCACGTCGTTTATTCAAACCAATAACTTTTTACCGACCAAAACTATTGCACAAAGATAACCGAAGCATTTTTGTCAAAATAATGACACTTCCCGTACGTTAAAACTTAGACGAAATGTCAAGTATGTTGTAAAATTAGACTTAACCTATTCCACAAGCTAAAAACAATAAATACATGTACAATCGATAGCTAAATAACCAGTTTTCTCTCAGCGTAATAATCCGCGCTTTAAACATTACTAAATTAACATGAAGTATAGAAAGACGTGACTGAGTTGGCGAAGATTGAGATCTTTAACCCACTTGAAGGTGTTGAAATTGTCATCACTATCACTAAAACACCTCGTTGAGTTGAGATGGGATACTGAGTGGTTAGTATTGAAAGAATGAATGACTGGCAATAATCTGTTTTAAAAGTTGTGTATTCTTCTTATTGGAATTTGACTGTTTTCAAGAAAAAGTTAAAACTCAATCTAGCAGATTAAGAAAGATTGAATAATGGTATTTCGGATTATTCTCGAAGTTCAATTACCCAAAGATTATGGGATGAATAGAATTAAACTGTGTTTAAACGGGGTTCAGCGGGATTTGCAAACTATTCACATGCTTGTTTGTCTTTGTTGAAACGGAATCATTATTAGACTATGTATTTAGATACAGGGTTGGAGTGGGTTTTTTTTTTTAATGTTCTATTTTATTTAAATTAACCTTTTTCTGACGTTTTGGATGCCATTTTTGGAAATATCTTTTTCGGGAGTTTTGGATGCCGTTTTTCAAAATATACATGAAGAATTATTTCTATGCTCTCAGATTTTATATGGCGTTTATTTCGTAGTATTATTTTTTTATATAGAAATTGTAAAGTTGGTTAAAATACCATAGAAACCACCCGGTAATATATAAGGCATGAAAGTGACACGACAACCATGTTATCAACGTGGAGTGGTTTTCAGGCATATACAAGTGTTCTGAACTTTATTTGACAATATTAGGTTTTGTGGACATAGTATGTGTTAGTTATTGATTGCAAGATATCTAGTGTACTTCCACAATCCATGTGTTACCTTGTCTTTGATCGACCACTGCTACACTGTTGCTTATGATATACACCATCTGGATAATTTAAGATAATAATGGGATGTCATATAGAGCCAATAATAATATGGTTATCTTGTAAGGGTGGCTTATGTGAGAAAACTCCAATTACTGATAGAGGGTTATTTTCTATCATTATCTATTTACACACAATTAACATTACTTTTATGTCATTTGCAATAAATTGAGATACCTGTGGCGGTTACGTTAGACCCGTGAATAGGTGGGTGTCTTAAAATAAGTGTAAATAATTTTTTTATAATGTCAATTACGAATGTATACAGACCAAACAGAAAAGCTTTGATCTCCAAGTTAACTTTATAATATATTAATGGGAGTGATTTAAATCTAAGAAAGGATCAATAGATGGAACAAAACAAGTTGCCTGTAAAATCTCCAGGGAAGAATCGAATGTCAAATGATCACCTTGGTGCTTTAGTACAATATATTACGAAATTTAATCATTTAAACGTTAAAAGTGAAAGCCACACATCCGCATTATTGTCTTTAAAAACAAATGACGATATAAGAAAAGAATGATTACTAGACGATTGTTTTATTAGCTTTGAAATATGGTTATCGCCAACTATATAAACCGTTAAGTCGGGTAGGTCAGATAGGCATCAGCTAATCGAAAAACTCTGAATATAGAGCAAGATGTCATCAGACAGTAACATTAGCAATAATCGCTTGTCGCATAGTTTTGATATTAAATCTGCATTTGGTTATGTACATATGAATAAAGCACTACACTACATTCGGGGCCATTTCATTGTTCATCTATTGCTCGTGTTATCAGTCAAATCCTGGCAGTTTATTTTGGCTGCGATATCACCTCGGTGGAAGCGGACGTAAAATACAACTAACTAGTTTATTTTGTCTATTCTTCTTTATTGAATTCAACACATTATTAATTTATTATTATTAATTAATTATTCTCTTTTTATCTTTTCAGGTTGTAACCATGGCTTTAGGCTTACCCCCATTCAATACTTCGTCGACACTAACTTCCATTAATGTTACTATGATGGCATCGTCGGATGAAGCTGAACATTCCGAGCAACCGCACATGGTTATAATACTAACCACAATGTTGTCTATATTTTGTATTCTTGGGGTTACTGGAAATGCTATTGCCTTTTACATATATTACGGAAAACGTGAAAAATCTACATCAACAATATTCATATTGTCGTTGGCCGTAACGGACTTTTTAACTTGCCTTATCGTTGTTCCATACACAATGGCTGCGGAACTGGTTCAGTATCACTTGGTGTTTGACATTGTGTGCAAAATGTATTTATTTTTTATAACTTCTAATGTACCGTTGTCGGCCTTCATAATGGTGGCCATTGGATTCGATCGTTATTTTTGCATTTGCCATCCTTTCTTGCACATTCTAACAGTTCGGAAGGCAAAAATATGTGTGCTCATGCTTACCTACCTAGCCTTTGCTCTAGGTATTATTACGTCTTTAACATATGGCGTATACATTGACAGTCGGCTGTTGGTACCACCGGAAGCATTGGCGCATCCAAACGAAACGGACAGTGGATATAACTTTAATCCAGTAATAAATGAGACATTGGAGGATGACGCATTTCAGGAGTATGTTTATTACGGTACTTGTGTATCAAATGAGATCATTCTGTCGGAAACTACAACGCTGATATATCAAAAGCTCTACGCCGCTTTGTTTTTGGTGTCTTTTATTATCGTAGCCGTTTTATACGCTTTGATCTACAGATCCATATTACAACGGAGAGCATGGCGCAGTCGCTGCAAAAGGGCTAGCTGCTATACAACTATGAATGGTAACGAAACGGGTATGGAAGAAACTCAACTGACAGCTGTTAATGGCATAGCGCCACCATTAATTGGCGCTTCTATGGGAAAAGGACCAATCAGGGCTGCGGCGGCCTTACGTGAAAAAATGATGTACGCAAATATCAAAACAGCCGCTATGTTGTTTGTCGTTACCTTAGTGTTTATTATTTCTTACTTGCCATCTTGGTTAATGGGTCTAGAGATCATTCCATTCAACATTATAGTGTACCAGTTTTACTTTTTAAACAATGTGGCAAATCCTTTCATTTATGCTTTTATGAACCGAACATTTCGTGATGACCTTAAACACTTAATTAAAAAGTGCTAAGCTGTGTTATTCTATTTTGGACTTTTACCATTCATCTTGCGCTATCCATAATAATTATATTCGTTAAGTTATACGTGTAGTTATATTATGTCATATCACGATTCAAATATATTCTTATTATATAAGAAAACCAACTCTTATCCGTGTATATCGAATGCTTAAGCGGGAATTGTTTTTTGTTGTTTTCAAAAATAATGTTTTGGTGGGCCGTTTGCATCTGATCTTAAAATCAAAAGTTTTTATTGTAACTACGCTACAATAAAAGAAAATATACAGCTACAATTTATATGAGATCATTTCTGTGTCACAAGAACTTTCGTTGATCGGAGGTAATATTCCATGAAAGGCATTCGGAAGTTGGAAAATGTCTTCTATATTTGAGTATATTTAATACTAAGCTTTTTTCGTGTGGGGGGGGGGGTTGAACTGTTTTAATAACGGTAAGTTCAGTCTACGCAAACAACAATTGGAAGTAAACCATAAACGAAGTACGCACAAATGAATGCAATCTGCAAACACCTGTCAAAAGTAAAACGTTGACCATTTTGTTTTTAATAACCTATCTTAGCCAATCAGGGTCTCTGACATAAAAGTAGTAACGATTAAAATCTCTTTACAAGTTTAATAGAGGTGGAAAATATTTTATTATTGACAGATATCATGTCTTAGTCCGCTACGCTATGACGGATTTACGAGAGTTTAAATGCTGTTCTTTTTTGTTTTTTTTTTGTTTTTTTTAAGTGCTGTCTTGAGGGTCACGGTCGCTAAGTGGATAAGACGCTGGCTCGCCAGCCTGGAGGTCGGGTGTTCGATGCCTGCATTGGCCGAGAAAGTTCATCCAGATTTTCCGGCGTGGTTCCCCCTTGTCAGTGCTGCAGGACGGAGGGCCTGCCAAGGACATCTGACTAGTCCCTTGTACACATTGGCGTGCACGTAAAAGATCCATTGGCAGTTGTAATTCGATATAAGAGTAGGCCGTAGTGCCACTGTCCGGGCAAATTTCCCTCATACCACACTGTATGGTGCATGTCCGTCTACATTAGCCCAGTTCGGAGCAGAACAGTCGGACGTTGAATCCCATTTCATTTCATTTCATTTCATTTTAAATGCTGTCTTGTAGATTATTGTCTGGTAGCATACTTCTTGTAGTTACATATTGGATCACATTTATACGTTATCTTCTGACTGGCTTGTTTATACAGCATTCAGTTCCTGTTACCGTTCGATTGGATTGGTCAAAGATATATTTCCATGAGATTCGAGAGCCAAGATACATAAACTCTGATTGGAAAATACATTTGTTGTTAAAAGCATTATATGATACTGCTCCCTATTACTGGTATAGTCTAAAGCTATACGCCACACTGAACAAACAATATGTAATAGAGACTTTTAGTAAACGAAATTTTTCCCATCCGTACCACGTATACGTGATACGTTGCATCAATGTAGTTTTAAGGTCAGTTCATACTACATCCGTATCCGTATCTGTAAATACGTGCGCACAAAAACAACTGCGTCCGTTGAGCCGGATTGATTGCTCCCAGAGCTTTAGCCAATCAGCGAGTATTTTCCCCTTATTACATCATCTCCCCAAATAGAAACTCAGTCTCTAACAGACAATTCAGCTTTGAAAGCCGGACGTTTTCGCGTTTTCTATTTGAACGTTTATACGTTTAGAGTTTTGGCAGAATTTTCGCGTCGCGTAAGTATGCGTCGCTGAGCTGAGCTTAGTTCTATTATAGCATGGTGGCAGTTATCTATACCAAGATCACCATCAGTGTTAGTCAAATGCCTAGCCTACAATTTCCCGGAGGAGTGAAGTCGCTCGACAGTCGCTGAACTATTAAAAAACAAATTTAATATCAAATCTTGTTAAAAATCTACGACTTCGACTTGACAGCGATTTTTTGTTCCACCAATGTATCATTTCAGAAAGTATATACCCTTTTACAGATTTGCAAGGTCCAACCTCCCTAAATTTAGCACGTAGATCAACCAGCTTTCAGACAGACAGAAAAAGTATAAAAATTCCGAGAAAAACCCATCAAAAATAATGATTAAATTCTAGCCTTTGTCATGGTTAACATCACATCAAATATACACCTTCGTGTTCTAGGATACACATAGATTCATAAGAACGTTATGATGCATTTCAGCGTCTAAAAATAGCAAAAAAGACAGTAAAACACGACAATGTTATACGGACCTTTTCAGTATAAAAACTGTTCGATACCTGCTGCCGTATTCGAAAGCCGTGTCACATATGAGAAATACACACACATTGATGACGTCACATGTAAAATCCATACAGATACGCGATACGGACTAGGAATTTACGCTTGCCATTATGGTTCACTTACTTACTTACTTTCCTTTATTTCCTTTAATTTAAGCTCATTAATCACTGTCTTATTGTCTATATCTTAAGTTCACTAATAACGGTTTTATTTTAAGCTCACTAATCACTGTCTTATTTTCTTTATTTTGAGCCCACTAATCATAGGTTTATTGTAAGCTCACTAATCACTGTCTTTTTTATTGTTATCCCTTTAGCTTCTAAGAAATATGACACTGTTAGTTAACTTTTTTTTCAAGTTGCGTCATATGACTTAATTAACCGCTAGGAAACAAATCTAGAACAGGGGACCTGACAAGGAACGCCGTCTAGTCGTGCTGATGGTACTGAAAACCGCGGTTTCGTGTACACATTTGTTGGAATGCGAAATAAGAGCAGGATGCCCTTCATATCACACTGCATGGCGTATGGCCGTCTTCATAAGGACGTTAAACAACATTTCATAACACAAATTAAGTATTGGAAACCTTGCCCTGATTTTAATGGAACCGTAGTTCAGACCTATCCTTTCCAACACCTGCAATGGTGGGGTGAGATAGTAAGTAAAACCCAGAATTCTTGATTGACAAGAAGTGACAACAGTTTTAAAATCAGTTTATATATTCAGAAACAGCACATGATATATAATATATATATAAAATTTATAAAAGATTCTTCTCTCAGGTTAAAGTATATAGAAATATGAGGTTTTTAGAAAGGAAAAAAACTTATTTCATCTTATGTATTATATAATACATAAGATGAAATTATTATATATAATAAAATATTCGGTAAAACGTTTAAAAGCGTGATTGGATGCTGGGTATTCCTTACAATAACGTTCTATACCATAAAATCCAATTACACAATTTCTTTTGTATTATGACATTGCTAATAAATTATCAATAATAGATACAAATACTTGCCACTATGTGTATATAATTAATATTTCTATTGGCTAAATGTTACTTCAAACATAACATATGTACGTACATAAACTATATTTCAAAAGAATCGGTTTCTTCACTTCAATGTCACCTAATTCAACACTTGAAAAAAAAAAGTACAATAATTAGTTTGCCCGTTTGTGGAAAAGGGCCGATGTATAAACTGTTGAAAATAATTAAGTGATAAAGGTGCATGTATATAATGTATATTTTTTTATCCCACTTAATCTACAACATAACCTGGCAAGTGTAAGAATAACAGAACATCAGAAAGAAAACGCCTTTACAACTGAAGGATTCCACCGAGATATCCTTTAAATAATACGAGGGATATGAAGAACTGGATATTAAAAACTAAAACATTTCTACCACTAAAATAACACAACATAACCTGGACAACATAATTCTAGATCCATACCATATAAAATCTACCACGGAATACATTTATACTAATTTATAGTACCGTAAATCCTAAACTAGACGTTTACCAAGTCTGAGCCTGCCAAACCAATTACTATCTTGGAAGCAGGCGTTAAACCACCGACTTTTACTACATTTATGATTACCAACATCAACAGACAGGGTGGCAACACATAACCATGTTAAATATTTATACGTTTTATATGTTCCATATCATCAAGACCACGGTGCAAAGGTACTGTTCCTTGGATGATATAGTGTGTACAAATTGCAAACATTTGGAAAACGCATCTCCAAATAATGCATGTCCTTCAAAAATCCGTTTTTTGTAGAACGGCTGCTCTCCATATCGGGGATTGGTCGAGCTATATTTTTCTGGAATATGGAGTTAATAGTAGTACCGTAAATTTTGGTAGAAAGTCTGAGTACAACTATGTAATGTAGCCTATATGGAAAGGGGTGGCGCAAAGGGGACACTTCACCAATAGGACAGCACAGCAATTTAAAACATGCAATGTAGGATGGTTAGTAGTTTAACACAAACGTTGTCCTATTTAATACTCCGTTGTAGGGAAATAGTTCATAGTTTCGCCACCACGGTAATTATAATACTTTGTTGGGGACGAACAGCCTTGCGCTGCAGGCCATTCCTTACAACCACACTGTTGAACGTGAGCTGGACTATTCTGTATCTAGATTCAAAATAATCGTTATTTTGGAATAGGTATATTTCGACCACTATGGAAAGATAATGGAGCATATTTATTTTTCTTCAAAACGATCTACTTCGTTATGTATCGTGTCTGCGAGACCGAGCACTTTACGTTGTAATCATATTATTAATATAAATATGAACAAACGATCTGACCGGTTTTATGTTTGGTTTTCACAAATTCTTTAAAGTGCTGACAAACATGCAAAATAAAAATAGCTGATCTCACGTTACGAATGTTTACACTATAATTTCTAAAGTATATTTCGAATTAACTTGGTGTCAAGCAGCTAGCACGTTTTTATTTTGCTTTGTAATTGGTAACGTGTTGTGTTTACTTCATGTGGGTTTGAAGAATTCTTTCTGAGTACTTAAAAAAAATTAAAATTATTATCGACTAGCTACATATACACCGATCCTCTTGTTTGCTGTATTTGGTGTCACAAACAGGAGATTACACGTCTTTTCTTGTTATTCATCCAAAAACTTGACAAAACTCTTTCGGAAGTGGAGCAGCATGCAAGCTTTCCTGTTTTATTCGTGTAGGTTACATTGTAACATATCAACAGATGACGATTCATCAATTAATTATTTTCCTTCGCACGAAATTATATGAACGGGGTATACATAATTAATTCCACGGCAAGCCATAGGTGACGAAACTAGAGTTAAGTATTTACTAGGTTCTAAAAGTAAGTTCAAAATCTAATAACCACCAACGGACTGGGAATTTAGGTACATTTAAGTTTCGTGTACTATAATAACACATCTTAACCATTGAAGATTAAATAAATTCCTGCTATAATTTATTTTCGAAAATCAAGTTCAGAAACATATAACCGCCTAGGACATTCGGTACATTTAGGTTTCGTAACTATATAATAACGAATCTTGTCCATTGAAGATTAAAAGCATTAACCACAATAACGTGTTTATGTCTAATACAGCTAACTAATTTATTTTCGATATTAAAATTCAAGGATATCGTTCAATGCTAGGTATATAACAGTCAATTAGAATATAATTGTTTCCACACAGTAACATTATATCTTTTGAAAAGCCGCTATAACATTATTAAAGTCTCTGGATGAATGGACGAGGGCTCCCTTTACATAAGTATGTGTTACTAATACATATGCTAACCACCCGGCCTCCCTACAAATTCTGTCCTGTAGATATATGTTAGCTTAGTCAGTACCGGAGCGTGTACGTTAAAAACATTTGACTTCTACAATTAGACGAAAGTGTTTGGATGAGAGAAGTTTCTCACATAGACTACAGTTTCGATAAAACTCGAGCAGCAACGAGAAATGAAAATCCCGCGTTACGGGTGAGAAAAATGAATACAAATCATTTGCGAAGAATTTGAATTCTCTGGTTGGGTTGGACGTTAGAGGAAATCGTTTGGGAGAAAGGGGGTTTCTCACATAGACTACACCAAATGTTTCAGCAAATCCAGTTTAGATAAACTCGAGCCGCAACAGGAAATGCAATTCCCGCCTTCCCGTCCCACATTGCGGGTGAGACAAATGAATGCAAATCATCTGCGAAGAATGCTGAGCACTGTAACTGGAAATGACGCCGTATCAGAAGATGCAATCTTTGTACCAGACACCATGGTAAGATCAGTTTTGCGTCAACGTGAGAGCTACGAGAGAGGCATGAGCAATGTCGTGATAAATGTATCGGTGATAATTGGTCATCAGATCTTGTCTCAGAAGATTCACGGGTTTCACTGCAGAATGATGACGGTCATATCCTGGTGTAGTACAATCTCCTTTTTATATTGTCATGGGTAATCTCAATGCTATTCATTTCAGGGTGAAATTCCTAGACCAATGGTAAGTTTCCAAAGAATGAAACCCTATTATTAATGTTTTCCAAGACTACAGCGCCAGACCTCTACAATACGTGTCTCAAGTTAAGGAAGGGTACAGTACAGTTCCTTCTAACAGCTCGTCACTGCGATTCACAGAGGTGCACATGCGGAATACATCGTAACTAGTATGAATGGAGACCGCGAAAAGCAACGCATGATTTATATTACCGATAATTTTTGTAGTTATGCTAAAGGTTTTTTGCTACACTGGGCTGAGGGTATGTTTAATTAGTTATAGTGGTATATAACATTTTCATATTCTAAAGACGGTATAGGCATTATTAAAAGAAACGAGTTTGCAAGATGAAAATAATAAGATCAAATCGGAACTGAACAACAAACCATCAGATTTTTCTGAACGGTTTAAATTACGTCCTCGTAGCTACTCGTCATGATACACTGAATTCCTGTTCTGACTGTGATCTGTGAATAAATGTTTTGTAATGAAACTTCAACTGTTTGAATGCATTAAATGAAGACTCAACGAAGTCTTCTGATTGCCTTTAGTCACAGCAATTCTGTAAACGAACGTTGTCAACCGATCGCTCATACTTATATAGAGTGGTTCAGGGTTTGAAGAAAATCCAACAGACAGACAATATTTGGGGCTTATATTAACATATTATGAACTTCATACATCAACAATGGAAGTCTGACCACGATTGATTTTTGAGGATATAACCATTTGGACATGTGTTTATAAATGCTTCCAATTATGACCGACTTCCGTTATCAATGGAGTTAAATACGCCTTACGGTTCTTGGTTACATTAAAATTTCAAATTTGGCACTGAAACGAATACTTAATTCGGGAATCTTCGTTTTTTTTTAGAATACGTACAAATAACGGTTGAATTTAATGTTTGTACGCATGCACAGTCCTTAGTTTTTGAACACGAGAGCGGAACAGAGAGAAATGAAAATTAACAACTCCAAATATCAGTTACATTTTGGGCTGATTTTTATAAATGCATTAGAACATAATGAAAACTTTCAAATATTGGAGAAATTCGTGGTTTACCATACAAACGCAATAGTGCTTAGAGCACTTATATTGTAGATGTTAAGTATCCTTTATAATAATCCTATTATGGTTCCAAATATGAAAATAAATAAATACACATCTAAAATAGAGTACACGACCTAAAAAGATTAGAATTCAAGTATTGTGTTTACTTTAAGTGTTTACCTTAAGTTTACTTTAATCATACAAGCCTGGTTAATCAAGACTACGGAAAAACATTTCGTCCAGTTAATTATTTCCGGTCTCAAGCTAGCAACAACCTAACTTCTAAACTCACTAAGTCGGCAACTAACCACATGGTTTTACGGTTAAATAAAAGTAAATTTCATTGTCTTCCGGGGTTGGTAGGTTGCCGCGAGAGTGTGTTTAAAAGATAGAAAACGGACGAAATCATTCCCCCCCACCCCCCAAACCACCCCTGCGCAACTGACATAGGGATACCAGACTGGAAAACCCCGATAATCGCTTTTGGCCAACACTGGGTTCAGACTCGGTCAGAACTGATAATGCTCGTTACCATTGCCTCAACCTCAAGAATATGTTGTTTAGATATAAATCCAATGCGATATCGAGGTTTCGGGAAGGGGGTGCGGGATCTTTAACATACAAGTACAATAGGAATACACAAAATCAATATAATTTCTATTTCTTTCACGAGGTCATGTCTGGAGGAAAAGAATAGCGGGTAAGGCGAATATTTGTTATGTCAACGGGAATAATTTCAATTTTGTATTATTGGCTTATACATAGCAGCCTGGATGGGGGTCACCATGTACATTTGCAGATAAGACACACAAACTCTGGCAGTGACTCAGAATTATGACGGCTTTACGATATTGTCGTTCTTGTTCATATTGACAGTGGTGTGTTTATGATATTGGTTTTCCTGTTCATGTTAAGGTCGGACTACACCACCAAGGATTAGCTGTCACCGACAGCCCGATTTCTTGTCGATCCAATCTGGTGGGCAACACATCAGCGTACACCAGTACCGAATTTCTATCGCCTTATTTATATAGAACTCCGTGGTAATGACAATGTTCATTTAAGCGTTCACACATTCAGTGAGATATTATACAATGACACATATAGTATCACCCATACAAATTTTAAAAAATGTTTTAGCCAGTGGGAGCCATGGTGGCTAAGCGGGTAAGACGCTGTCTCGCTAGCCTGGAGGTCGCGTGTTCGATAAAGTTCATTGGGATTTTCCGACTCTGTTTCCCCTTGTGAGCGGTGCAGGACGGAGGGCCTGACAAGGACAGCTGTCTACAATCTAGTCATTCGGATGAGACGAAAAACCGAGGTCCCGTGTACACATTGGCGTGTACGTAAAAGATCCCTTGGCAGTTGGAATTCAATATAAGAGTAGGCCATAAGAAGGCAAATTTCCCTCATAACACACTGCATAGCATGCACTTCATTAGCACAGTCGGACGTTAAACCTCGTTATATTTCATTTGGTTTTAGCAAGCCGGTTTTCCGGCAAAAAACAAACGGTCGGGCTGTATTATTATTACCACAAACCAATGCCAATGATTAATGGTTGAGGATGGATAACGCCGACAATTAAGCCTTGTTGGGCGCAGGCCTTTAGTGTGAAATCTACATAATATTATGGATAACGCCGACAAATAATCCTTGTTGGGAGCAGGCCTTCGGCATGTTAAAAATCTACATAATATTATAATGGTATGGATAAATTCATCGTAAACTACCATTGGTTAAATAACAGACCTTATGATCTACAGCGCAAGCCTAAAACCACTCGGTCACCAAACCACACTCAAGGAAGAATAATCCTCGTGGAAATAATGGACTATCGTAACAATTAACAGAAATAGGAAACATACAACAGTATTTTTAACAAATTGCTTAATTAAAATTTTCAATTGTTTTAGCATCATCCACAGTTATGTATTGGGATAACATAAGACAAACACATTATCACATGACAGTTATCATGCGCATGACACTTATTAAACAATTTCACACAATATAGAAGCGGATGATACTGGTTTCATATATTCTTTATTCTTATGCATGTAAACAATAACAGAATAGCCTATTTTTTTGCACAAATCTTATGGACAAAAAAGCTTAATGTATGCGCGTTTTATAAATACTGTAGCCAAGAATACTTGATTGTGTGTTTTATTGTTAAGTAGTAGCATTCCCCAGTTTATCTACCAGACATAGCATTTTTTCTCCGCATTCATGTAACTTGAGGCTGGACAATTAAATGCTTCTGCAAAATCTTGAGAATTTTGAAGCGAACCAATCACCCTGGAGATAAATGAACAAAGAATGAAAACTGTTAACTTCTTTCTACACAGAAAAATGATTGTTCGCTAAAGGATATAAATCTCCCATTATTCAAGAAACTTACCGAAATCTTCCCAGACTATGGACACCGGTTAGTATCTGCTGAATGGCGGCTTCTCTTCTTGTATTCGTACACCAAATCTTTGAATATAAAGCATTAAAAGTCATTTACAATGACATGAGATATATAATCTGGTAACTAAAACAGTTCTTATATTCAACCTAATGGACACAGATCACTAAAGATTTCCCCATTGACTCCAATGTTAATTCTCGTATCTTAGACCGGCTTTAACTTTTTCCCAAATTTTCGTTGGGTAGAACACTTTCTACCACAGATGGAGCAACATGTGGCAACCACTTGCCCAAAAGCACGTATGAGGTTCTTCATGAAAAACTTGAGATACACAAGCTGGAAGTAGAGACAAGTAAACATGCAATTTCAGGCCCTACATTTCAACGTAACCAACCTCTCAACTCTTGTATCCTTCCGCATCAAAATTATGAATATTCACCAAAACTTGGCAGAAAATGTATTTTCAAACCCTTTTCCTCAATTCTACACCAAAAAGTCAACAAAAATCGCCATGCAAAAGGGGGAAAAAGGAAAAGGGAGAGGAAGACTAAAAATAGCTTTGGCCCTTGTTTCGTGTGTCCTAATGTATCTCTTATCACAAAGAGGAAAATACGGTTGGGTCGTAAGTTTTAGAACCACGATAGTTTAGTTTTGCACTGATTTCACAAGTGCTTTCTTTTTTAATTTTTGTATGTACAATTGTACATTCATTTTCTCTACTAGAGCGATTTAATATCTTAATAAATATATATTGGGGCGAATCGGATTAAAACACAGATCCTATTTCGTTTCGGTTCTATTGCTGAAAATTTCGTTTTACTTGACTTTGCTACGAGTCTAGTCACGGTCACCCATATCCTTTTACTCTCAACGTGCGGTGGGTCTGGGTCTATTGTAAAACGAAACGAAAATTAGATCTATATTTTAATCAGATTGTATTGGGACATATGCATTTGGTTACCTGAGCAAAGTTTATAAAAAAGAGTTGTTTGTTGTTATATTTTAAACCTGGTAGTCGTGGTTCATCGCCCATGGTTTCTATCAATGTTTGGTAGGCCTGAAATCAATGGTGGAAGTAAAAGGTTGAGTTAGAATAGAAAACTGGCATACATTTATATAAGTGAAATCCTCAACGGATAAGAGGTATTTCTTACCCTATAACTTTGTTTTAATCCACCGTTATCAGCTATATTTTCACCTTGTGTATTAATACCATTTAACTACAACAAGAAATAAATATGAAATAGGTTTTAATTGGTCATTATCAACCATAATATTTGATAATTTAACTACAACAAGAAATAAATATGAAATAGGTTTTAATTGGTCATTATCAACCATAATATTTGATAATTGATATTTGAAACTTCTTATACTTCTCATTCAGTTTGGAAGTTCCAACGACCCTCCCATATTTTCCCCATTAAAAATATATATTATAGTTTGGGCCCTAGTTGTATCTTACTTACATTCATATCAGCTTCTTCTACACTATAGTTGGAATATTGATTTATTATACATTGTGCTTTCTCTTTAAATCTACCAATGACGTCATCAGTCCACCATTGTAATAAATTACCATCTTTATCATATTGCCGACCTAAACGTATTTTATTACTGTCAGCATTAGTGTCATATAAGTTATAAAAATAATTACTATGGCATAACCTTTTGGTTTGACAAATGTTTCCAATTACCTTCTAAGACCATATTCTGGTAATTTGTTTTATATGTGTAATTTGTTAATGTTGGAGTTAATAGTCAAGGAAAGTCCGAGTTATCTTACCTGAATCATCAAACCCATGAGTTATTTCATGTCCAATAACAACACCAATACCACCATAATTCAAAGCTCTGTTAATATAAAATTACCATTTCATTTCAAATGCAGCCAATATAGAAAGCAAAGCAATTTATTTCTTATAACTTCAGAATAGAAATTGACTGTACCTTGGAAAGTTTTTGTGGAAAAATGGAGGTTGCAGAATTCCCGCTGGAAACACTGAAATATATAACAACTATTTTTACGATTCGTAATGGCCACAAAACTTACATTTGTGTTGCAAAAAACAAGCCTTCTATCATATAGAGTTCTGAGAATACTTACTGATTTGATTTTTTTGAGGACTGTAAAATGCATTCACTGTGGCGGCATTGGTACTCCAACTGCAAAAATGAAGTCCAATCGTATGTTTTAGAATATTATATTGTTTTTTTTACGATCACACTGTAAGTCTAATAACAGCCGTAAGAAGTTAATTTAAATATATATTTGCTCGACACTCGATCCTGAATACAAACCCATCAATTGTATAACATATCAAAACTCCGGTTTTACTAATCATGGACAACAAAAGACAAGAGCGCTTTTGTCAACAGCAACATACATTCAAATAAATTTGGGACATGAGGTGTAGAACATGCATATCTATAACAACTTTCTTGTCGGTCACATTGTGCAATAGTTGGCACTAGTAACATATAACGTCTTTGTTACCTAAACCAGTATATAAATCTTTAGGGGTTCTTTAAGGGAGTTAAGTTCTGTGAGTCGAATTATGCTTTCCGGAATATATGTGCGAATAGTCATTTTTTTCTGCACGTAATTAACGTGAATGTTTACAATACTAATATAATGTCTTGCCCTCTCAGCTGACATTTTACTTTGTTTTAACCTATCATACATACGCAGAGACTGAAATCATACCACAAAGACAACAAGTATCGAATATAAAAAGCGATTAGAAAGGAATTGATGAAATGCAAAGAACATTGTGTGTAGATAAAAAGTATACTAACTCATCTCTATCCACTGGTTCCCGCAGATCTTTTAAATTTGTAACAATACTTCTACGTTGGTCACTGTCAACGTTATTAAAATAATTATGCGGATCGTAAGTATGCTGAAAAATATAAAAGAAGTAAATAGAAATCATTTTGATGACTAACCGACAGTACCGGATCTATGGGTTGACTACAAGACTATTATTAGTGACTGATTATCTTTAGAAAGGACTGACTCGAATGCATGCCTTGATTGAAGTTTGAAACTTCTATTTTACTTGTGTTACTTTCCCAGAATATACCCGAGAATACACCAAATCGAATCTATTTTACAATTTTTTCTTTGGGAGGGCCCTTCGCTTTATTTTTTCTTAATTCAGTCCCACCCCCACAGGGTTAATCCGCCCTGCTGGACGATATATATAATAATACTATATTTTGATTTAAGAGAAATATAAATAGACTACATGTTTTTGTAACATAATTTATGGTCCAAGATGATATTCTACACGAGTCTTACATTTTCATATAATTTGTTGAGATAAACATCATCCAGAATAGCATCAGCATATCCAATCTTTTCATTTATGTATTCTGCCTGAAATATATATGTGAAATATGTACTGTTAAAATTAAGAGTGGAACAAATTGTTAATCCTGTTTTCGTGGTATATATTATATTAATTAAATATTAACCCTTTGGGTAATAGTGTCTTTTTGAACAAATTTGTAATCCTGTTTTCGTGGTATATATTATATTAATTAAATATTAACCCTTTGGGTACTAGTGTCTTTTGTACGAACACGATATAAATCCAGTTAGAGAACTATATTTGCTGCAGCAGCAATACTGTGACTTGTCACTCGAGTACAGTTTTTTTAGCATAAACATAATGGTTTAAAATCTACCTTTTCCCGAGCTAGTTGTCTTGTAGAATCATCCATCCAATCCAATTCATTCAACAATTCAAAGAAAGCTGAGCGAATATTCTCAATCATCTCTAGGGCCTTTAAAAATATAACATACAGATAGCGACATCCAACAATAGTAATTGCAAACATTATTTATTGGAAAACAGTTGACAGTAACAAAAAGACCGACAAGAGTTGTTGTGAACTGCAGATGATAACACAAGGTTAGATTTCTTTTTGCAGCTTTATTTGTTTTATCGATACAACGTCCCATTAATATATTTTTCTATTCACATGACAGTTAATACACTGGCGAAATTAACCAAATCCAATTCTGGAGAAAACGGCAATAACAAGAACGTATTCGCGTATTTGCTTTCGCCTTCATGACGTCCATGTTATATCATAGATTCGGCCTTGAGTCTGTAGTAAATCCACTTTACCGGGTCATTGCCATTTATTACATGTATAGGAATGGCGGGTGGAGATGTTGAAAACAAAGTAAATAAATCATAAGTCCATATAATTATTTTTCTTGTTTGACTCATCCCACTCAATACAGCAAAACGAGTAATGCGTCAGTAACGCTTTAGACGTTATTTAGCTATGCATCCCATACCTATGATAGTGACCAATGTGGATTTTAAAATCGCGGCATGTATTTTCACATGGATGATGAATGGAGCTTTTCTGTATTTGAAGGGAGTGAGAATGTCGTAATATCAATGAAGTACTTTCATTATGTCCGGGATGATTACATGTGCTATCATTGTGAATACAGAATGTTGGAAACTAACGAAACTTGTTATCATGTGTTTGCCTACCGTAGATTTAGCATCTTCATCAAATGTTTCGTCTATAAATACCCTTCCCACTCCAACACCAACATTATTCTGCACATAAACCACACATGTTCTAAATCTCTCTCTCTCAGTCGCCGATCCAGTTATAACCTTGTCATTAAAAAGAAGTAAATCCATTGACATATAAACTGCTATTTTGTGCAACAAGTTTAACAGTGTTCAGATAGCAATGAGAAAAGACAATAATTCAATAACTGAATAATACAAATTAATGCATATAGTTTCAAAAGAGTATATACACCGCTTCGATCGAATCTTATTTGCCATATCAAATCAGTTCTACAATATATATCTTAATTTGATTCTAACATGACAAATTACAATGAATGCAGTTGTAATAGGCGGGCCTTACCTTATTGTAGTCCACTAATAATTCTCTAAATTTGGCTGTTAAATAAGGTGCTCTTTGTAGTACTAGTCTAAATAAAATATAATTAGCCTTTACCCTGAAAAAGAGAAGGTGTTCAGAATGTATTCTTCTGTGAAAATCATATGCCACTGATGAGACACTAAACAGCTTCATGTTCATCATTAATATTATGTCATATATGTATAATTTACATAACCAACGGAAAAGATGTTTCATGTAATATCCATCCATCAACCCATCTATGTAACAAAACATCCCTCCCTATTTGAGCAAAGGTCGACCAACAAATGAGTTCAGCCTAATGAAGATAATATTGATCGTTTATTCTTGCATACGAACGACTAGACGCGTTTCCTTGTCGGACTCTGCGAAGAACTAAACTGGAAGAATCCTAATGAACTTTCCCGGCCAACCCATGTCAGGGAACAATATTAGCCAGAATAAGTACGTGTTTAAATAGTGTAATGTGCATATGCTTACCTTGCTGGTGTATTTTCTAATATATCAAATAATAGATTAAAATATTGTGGTGATCTGTTGATAATAATTTCATCTGCTGTTATATTTAACCCCACACCATCCATATTAAAAATATCATAAAAATAATTCTGCCAATCAAACTAAACAAAAAAAGAACCGACAATATTATTATAAGCTTCTCCATATCGTATCATATTCGAAAGAAATACCTTCTGAGATTATTCAAAAGAAACCCTTGATGAATGGGACAGTCACAAATTCCACATGCCATCGTAAATAAAAGTGTATTTAAGTATTGAAATCAAACATCAAAATTCGACAAAATGGCCCAGTCACTTATTTTGAAACTTTAAAAAAAATCAAAACACTGAGCAGTTCTCCAAAATATGTGCTACTTTAAAGTAGCTAAGTCAATATCATCCAAAGTCTTACACGTTGAAAATACGAATTATTTGTCAATTCAAATCAACATTGATGTCGTGATCTTACCAGGAAAAGGCAGGCTTCTGATATCCAATATTTAAGACAAAATAAACATTTTACCATTGGTACCGTGTACCATAGTGCGTTTTAGCGTCATTTTCAACAAGTGACCAGAAAGAACGAGGCTAAACATATTCAACTGGAGAGCCTGCTCAATAGACTAGAATAACCAGACGCTAGAAACTGCTATAGGGTTGAGACACATGCCGTATTTCGCTGGATATAACTGATTTGAAATTAGAGTAAAAACGGAAACGATTGAATGTAAATCAGTTTATATACAATCAGATTACATTATTATTTGCGTTGCTACCCATTTGGGTTAATTTCTAGGTCCCAAATATTAGCGATTTAGCTCCTTTTAATGTATAGCACTATTCCTCACCTTACTATAATTAGCTGCAAGGTCTGTTATGCTACCGGGATTGTATAAGGCTTCACTATCTCTTCTATCCTCAGCAGCAACTGAAATCTTTACATTATAAAGTCAATTTATTATAGCGGAGAATAATATAAAAGCATATAGTCACAAATAGTCAGAATCTAATAATCGTATTATAGGTGGACAGACGTTTTGGTCAGAGATGTTGTGGATATATAATATAAAATATGAAAGTTCAAGATTCATTGTTATTTTATAATTGGTCGGAACAACCTAATTGGCTATTTTCCATGGGCGAAACCTCTGTGGCTGAAAAGTCTCACATTCGGTATTATGAGTTCATACACGGTTCGGAGCAATATAATTATCTTACATTAGCTAAAAGGAATTCAAAGTCAACTAGGTCTTTAATATCAGCTGTGGCTGTTGCAAAATCAGCACCGAGGTTCACAGCCAATTCAACACCATATTTCTCATAGGCTTGTATCATCAAGTCATCTCTACCTCGCAAATAATAACTTCTTCCAGGCATCCCAAAAGAAGGTTGGTCGATCTGAATTGGACAAAAACAAACATGATTTTCGAAAATGCAAATCTAAACCAAATGAACATATGACACCATTTCTGAAAGATCTTCATTAGCTTCCAGTCTGTTAACGCATCAATTTAAAATACTGTCTACTACATATTCTGCTCTGCATAACAATTCTTCCAGAACTCTTCGACCACAATCAGACAAACACTTAATTAAGCCTTGGTAGATCATTCACAGTCGATGGCTCCCAATTTATTGAATTCTATATCAAATGAATCAAAAGGCGCAGACTCTATTAAAGTTTTTAAAAAGTACCTCAAAGCTATACTTTTTAATCAAATATACAACTGATGCAATATGGTTCTAGTTGTGTTTATGTGAGACTTTTACCCCATGTGTACTAAATCATGTTTTCTGTGATTTTAATGATTATGTCTTTTATGGATTAATAATTTAGAGGGGGTTTATTGTCCATTCGACCACACTTTTTGACCAATCAAAATCGAGGAAATTTCTAATTTGTGCTACAATGTTTTATCATTGCTTTAATTGCCCGAGAGCAGTTCGCAGAGTTGAATTGTCGGTGGTATATAAATCTTTTTATCATTATCATATTATTAATACATCTTTATCTATGGACAAATTAGCATGTTCCGAAGTGAATCTGCATTACACAAAGATACATGATCTATTTTACAAATAGAATAATTAAAATAATAAGACCAGTTTTAAATGCGGTTGTCTTAGTCTACTTTGATGTCATGCATTAACGATGTTTGCTAATACATGTATTTCTTTTAATATCAAAGTTTTGGTTGGTTCCCTCATGGTTAAGATATGTGAATTGACTTACATAAATTATTCTTTTAGAGGAGTCTTTGAAATCGGTAGTTACGAACATGTTGATAATAGGATCTAAGTTGAGGATTTGTAATTGGACTAGGTTGGCACTCAAATCAAAGGTATTATTGTTCCATGATGGTTCCAGTACTGGCCACCCCCCTAACAGCGTGAGCATATCAAGCAATGGTTCTGTACCTTGATTTTCTATGGCAGCTGTAAAAAGGATGGTGGATCTTTATTTGGGATAAGATTATTGAAAATGGTTGATGCAGTATCTCGGTCATTTTTCTGAATATATTCGTTCGTTCGTTTGTTCATAAGGATTAACGTCCGCTTTCACCGAGGTCAATATGGAAGACAATCTGGCCATATCAGCAGCAAAGTTTTAATACTTTATTCAAATAAAATATAGTGTGAAGAATGTGACATCTTACTTAAATTGAGGCAAGAATTATAAAGGTCCTTTATCTTCTTAACGGCACTTATGTCTTCACTTGACTCTTTTTCTAGAGAATCTGGAAAATTTATAAAAATTAAAATAGTTCAATGCAACATTAAATGTGTGATACGCAGGGTTAGGGGGTTGCAAAGGGGTGATTATAAAGTACTTTTCCGTGCTTACTTACATACATATTCAAAGCATTGCATTGTCGTACATGGGTTCTAGCTGTTTTAATGCGGATTCATCATACAATACTAGCGTGGTGGTCTAGCAGAAAATTGCTTAATGTGGCTGCAACACTCTTTGAATTATTTAATTGAATTGATCTGTCGTAACAATTTTATTTTTGGTCCTCGTCTAAAGGAGCGTGCCATTGAAACTGACGAGAATTTAGGATGTGGGGAAGCCTCAATTTAGGATGTGGGGAAGCCTCAATTTATATAGCAATGGCAAAAATCGTGTAATTTAAGGGAAAGAAATGTGGCATGGCTCGAAAAGACCACGTGGGGTTTCGGGTGAATTTTATTTTCAATATAATGTTGAAATTATAATGGAATAGAGGTTTTTCTTGTACCTTGTACAATCATATGTTTAATATTAAAGAATATATGAATGTGAAATTTTACTTTTTAAAGTCACTTCAACGTCATCACGTAAAACACCGAACATGTTGATACTAGAACGATCGGCAGGTATAATGTTTTTCTTCATCCATGTTCCACAAGCAAATTGAAAGAAATCGTCACATGGTTCGACGCTGGCATCAATCTGACTTGTTATTCTAGACGCTATAAAAGGATTAATATTAATACAGAGAGGCATGTAAAACATATCCAGAAATATTATTACTAGTAACTCATTCGTAATTTTGCCATAAACACATTTAGCTTTATATGAGTTATATGAGTTTTATTCGAATTTAATGATCTATATCATTTTGCCATAATTAGTCGATATAGATTAACTGAAAATCTTGAAATAACAGTTGTTAATTATAATCGGATTGTGCAAAAAATATCCTCCAATTTCCAGGCGTTGTTTCCTATGGTCAGTGGTGCAGAGTGGCGACCTGGTAAAGAACAGTGTCAAGTCGTTCAGATGGTATGTAAATGAAATGAAATGTGGTTTAACGTCCTACTGTTCTGCTCCTATACTGGGCTAATGAAGACGGGCATATGCCATACAGTGTGCTATGAGGGAAATTTTGCCCGGGCAGCGGCACTATCGCCTACTCATATATCGAATTCCAACTACCAAGGGATCTTTTACGTGCATTCTAATGTATACACGGGACCTCGGTTTTTCGTATCATCCGAAGGACTAGGCAGCTGCCCTTGTCAGACCCTCCGTTGTGCACCACTGACAAGGGGAAACCACGTCGGAAAATCAGGATGAACTTTCTCGAACACTCGACCTCCGCGAGCCAGCGTCTTAACCACCTAGCCACTGTGGCTCCTCAGATGGTATGTAAAACCGGGGTCCCATGTACACCTTGGCGTGCACGTAAAAGATTCTTTAACAGTTGGAATTCGAAATAAGAGTAGGCCGTACCTCCGCTGTGCGGGCAAAATTTCCTGCATACTACACTAGCTCATATTGGCGTGAAACTCCATTTTATTTCATTCTTGGTAAATCATACTTACACGCAGCTATACAGTTCTCACTCGTACAAACGTCTTCTTCTGTAAAACGTTAATAATCGATTTAAACAAGGATTTATACGAGGATAAATTGGAAAATATATTTAAATTACAAATGGCGGCAAATATTGGTTTAATGATAAAGTGATGAGCGTCCCAAGATGGATGGCGTCTTGCCGTAACCATTAAATCGTAAAACCAAAGTGGTATGTGCGTTACCTATGTCCCCTACATCTACCTGTAGGCCAGTTAAATTACAGAAAGTTACAGCAACGCGTACATCTTGGATTTGCATCTAGAAATTGGTTATAAACAGAAACATGGCGATGACTTTTGTCATCACACCGGCTTATGGAATACATAGCATACATAGCTATATAGCATATTCCTTTTGTAAGGACTCTAGATAAATGTTACCGCCAAATTGCTGAATAACATGGCATTCAGTTTAAATATTGAAAGTCCGCATTAGATTAATAAATTTAGGAAAGCCTGTTGTAGACTGAATAATTCAGATTATTTTACGTCCGTGAAGTAACTGTTAAAATCCAAGGCAGTGTGATGTAATGACGCCGAGGTACAAAGAAATATTTATCTTTCGTATAAATCCAAATTGACTGTTCTGGATTGACCGCGTGAAGATTTGTGGGTGGGGTGGGGAGTATTTTGGTGTATCGAAACTCTCGTTTTGGATGAGGGCCGGCTAAAAAGTTCTAAATCTGAAACGGATAGATCAATTTGGTTGAAACAAACTTTTGCCACCAACAAGTATTGAATGAATCATAGTCATAAGAACAGCAAATATAGTGTTATTATTGTCTTCGTACCAGACCATCTTGTGAACCTACTCGTTGAAATCACCAGAAATGTTCAAACCTGGCAAGAGGGCAGTCATCAAATAACTGTAACTGAAAGGACTAACCCAACACAGATACATGCCGACATGATCTCCACTTTAGGGGATGATGCCCCTTCCTTTTACACAGTAAAGAAGTGGGGTGCTGAGTTTAAACGTGACGATGAGCCGCGTTATGGAATTCCAGCAACCAGTGAAGACAACATTACCTGAGCGCGTGTCATGTTGATGGCTGGTCGACGATTGACCATTCGACATATTGCCAGTGTTATCGGCTGAGCACATTATCGCCAACTAGTTAGGAATGACAAAAGTTTCAGCAAGGTGGGTGCCAAAGTTCTTGACTGCGGACCGGACACGTGTCAGATTCCTGACGTCCCGTGACAATCTGTGCCGTTTTTAAACAGATCCTGGTAATTGTTTTGCCAGATTTGTAACCATGGATGAGACCCGGAATCCAAAATTCAGTTATTTTCCAAGTAATGATGACATCATGTTAGCTATTAACCACATTTTTAGGGTGAGCGAAGAAAAATTATTCCTGACCGGAAGCCAGGCCTTTCAAAGGGTACTATGTAGATAAAATAAATGGAAACCATCGACTTTATACAGGCCTTTCACAGATCGGCTTAGAACTTTTCAGCCAGCCGTCATACGTTACTTAGACAGACACACACTGTTTGAGCTGGACCACATGAACATGGCGAGGCGTTATCATTCAAATCCGTACAACTTCAAATGACACTAGAATCTGTTTGATTTTCGAACACTGAC